CACCATGAAGGCGTCGCGGTCCACTGGGCGAGAAGAGGGGTTGGAGGGGGTGGGGACAGGTGAGCGGGGATGGGGTGGCACAGACCCCACCACCACCACCACCCCTGGCCCCCCGACCCCACTCACCGGGCCGGCCCCGGCGGTAGGTGAGGTGCAGGCACCGCAGCCCGCAGACGATCTCCCTGTTCACCTGCGGGCAGAGGGCAGGGGTGCCATGGGTGCTGCCCCACAGCTTGGTGCCCCCCCACCCTGGAGACCCCTGGCCTCGGGGAGCGGGCATTCACCATTAAAACCCCATCCTGATCACCCCTCCCTCCAGTATCCAGCTTCTTGGGCAGGACTGGGCACTGAGCAGCATCAAAGGTGGCAAGGACCCCCGGGGACCCACGGGAGAGGCAGGGACCCAGTGTGACTGGGACTCCCAAGAGGGGCAGGGACCCTGGGTGGTAGGCACGCCAGGGTGGCAGTGATGTTGGGGACAGCAAGGATTCCCAGGGTGGCAGGGACCCCCAAGTGGGCAGGGACCCCCAGAAGGGCACAGACCCCGGAGGTGAGGGTTGGGGGGCAGTTGCCCCAAGGCAGCAGGGACCCTGGGTGGCAGGGACGCTGGGGCAGCAGGGAACCCATGGGTGGCAGGAAGGACCACGTGGGGCAGGGACGCATGGGAAACGGGACCTCCTACAAGGAGCAGGGACCCCACAGGACAGGGACCCCGGGGTGTGAAGGCAGGGACCCAGGGCAGCAGGGACCCCCAGGGGACAAGGGCTCCGGGCAGGGCCTCCTGCCAGCCGGTGGGCGCCGGGCGTCATGCACCCGCCTCACCTTGAAGGACACCTTCACCCTGTAGTCCACCCCCTCCTTCAGCACGAAGGCCCGGCCCCGCAGCACCTCCAGGTCTCCTGCGTGAGGAGATGGCCCGTGAGCCTGGCACCCCTTCCTCCTCCTCTTCCTCCTCCTCCCACCGGTGCCCCCACCGCTCACCTGTCAAGTCCATGGTGATGGGCCCTGGCGCCTGCTCGCACATGAGGGTGAGCCTCGTCACCTGCACGTTGGGCACGCTGGCATCTGGGGACAAGTGGCAGGGCACAGACCTTCCCCCCCCGTGCCCACCCCCCCGGCACTGGGGGGCTGCCCATATCCCCTGTAATGGCGTGAAGGGCCACGGTGCCCGTGGCGGGGTGTTATAAGCTGGTGAGTGCCAGGCAGCCCAGGAGACCAGGGGCATCTCAGGCCAGCCCCAACCTTGGCATCAACGCTTTTGGGGTAAGAGCACGTTTAAAAGGGCCCGGCCACAGGTATCGCCCAGGGTGTGATGCTCCCTGGCTCAGGAGTGGGCCAAGGTGGGGGGGAAGGGGGCAGAAGGCAGGCAGAGCCACCCCTCGAGGAGGGCATTGGCCTAATTGCACCTCAACAGCCCAACCTGCACCCCACCAGCAGCATGCACCCCTCTCCCCGCTGTCATGCGCCCATCAGACAGCACACCAGGGTGCTGGGCCCAGGGGACACCCCAGCCTGGCCCAGGCCCCGCAGACACCAAGGGCAGCACCGGGCTGGGGTGGCTGCTGCGGGGGCCATGGGGGCCAAGGAGGGGACACGCCG